GGCAAATGGTTCATCTCGATTAATCTTGTTGATAGAGAGGAGGCGCCGGGCTTCCAGCTATGCAGGGTGAGGAGACGGGGCCCAGGGCCCCGGAACCCAGGAGCTGTCTCTTTAACCCCGCCTTTTATTGACCGATCTCGTGTCCCTGGCCTCCCCTTGCTGGATGCGTCCTCATTGACTCCCAGAGAGAGGACCCCTCCTTCACTCAGAGGAAGGAAAGGACACCCCAAGGTTTTCTTCCCAGGACAGAGCTGGTCCCATCCTACCCCTCTTGGGGCGGCCCCTCTGCTATTTCTCTGGTAACTCTTCGACCCTCCCCCTTGTCCTTCTGCCGGTGTTGAGCTCTCCTTGCCTGGATGTGTGTGTAATGGGGGGTGGGGGGGGTGCCTTACACCTGACACTCAGGTCAGGCTGGAGGTGACCTTGGCCCCCCCTTACTTTCCCCCCTTAGTTGGAGTAGAGCACCCCCACCTCCCAGTGTACAGGAGTAGCTGGGAAGCAACCTTCCTAGGTCCCTCCCCACTCCAGAAGGAGCCCTGAGTAAGCTACACCTTGAGTTTGAATTCCAGCTCACCCATTCATTAGCTCTGTTACCTTAGACACGAGACTCAACCTCTCTGAACGTTAGATGCCCCCCTCTGTTTAATGGAGACAGTTTAGAACTAGCTTACAGGTGGTTATGAGGGAAAGATGGGGTATCTGCAGGCTGGCCCCGTGTGGCACCCCGGGGAGTGAATTTGATGCTATCACAAGGGAGTGGTTAGAAGCTGGGGTGCATGAGAAGCATTGGGAGAGTGAGTTTGGTGGCTGCTTTCCAGGTCCCCATCTAGGCAGGCCAAGGCATGGCTGGAGGTACACCAGATGCTCTGAGCTGGTATCAAATCCCTGTTTGCTCCTGGGCAAAAGCAGACAAGAATAAAACACCTGGACAGGCCTGCTGAGCGTCAGGATGGGGACAGGGGGAGGGACTGCCCCTAGCGTTGAATGGTGCCCAGGGCTGGGGTGGGTTTACTGAGAACAGAACTGGGATGTAGCTGAGGGAGAAGGCAGAAATTAATACTCCTCTGAGCCTAAGGCACATCTCACTAAGGAAACCAGTCTCTCGTCTGCTTTGAAACTGCACTGCCAGGAACCTTGCCTGTGGGGGTGGGGGAAGAGCACAGGGTTTGCTGAGGTGAAAAGCTGGGGTTTCCCTCCCTGCCACCTAAAGGAAAACTTGAGTCCTGAGCCTCCTCTGTCCATTCTCCCCTCCACCGGGGTAGTGCCCTCTTGCCCTCATCCATCTAGAAAATGTAAAAAATTGTTCACTCTGTCCCCAGTGCCTAGAACAGTGCCTGGCTGGCCGGCAAAGGTTCTTGGTAAATATTTGTTGAAAGGCTGAATGAAAGAAGCCCTTTACCTCCAGATGGAGACATGTAGGTCTCCTCCTCCTCTCCCTCACCTACAACCCAGGTGTAGGTGACTTACTGGGCTGGGTAGAAAAGCCCATTGAGAGTATGGGGTCCCTGAAGGTGTCTGTTGGTTTTGGGCTGGGACCTAGAGCACTGGCTGTACCTGTGAGTTGACCCACCCCCACTCCCTCAGCTCCCCTGCTGAGACTCTTGAGTCTCTTATCTCCCAAGCTGCAGAGTTTGTTTTTTATCTCGTTGGTCGAGGGTGTGTATGTGAGGCTTCTCAAAATGGGGCAGCTTCCTCCCACAGCAAGGCCTGGGGGCTTCTCTCATATGCCCTGTGCCTCTGTCTTCATTCTGGACCCTTACCCAGGAGGAGCCCATGGACAAGACCTACTGCCTGAGCCGGAACTAGGACCACCTCCCAGGGACTGCCCAGGCCTCCGCTGCTTGGACCCTTCTGCTGACAAGTCTGGGCACCCAGTAAGTCCAGGTGGGCGATGAGGGAGGTCAGTCCTGGCTCCAGACCCTCTAGGCTCTCACTTGGGGGACGCACCAGAATGTACCTGCCTGGCTTTCCATGCCATCCAAAGGGAAAGCGATTTATCTCCTGGTGCCAAAGAGGTCCTGGCTACAGAAATAACATAATGGGGGGAGCAGGAGAGGGGCACTGAGTGGGGAGGTTATATGCAGTTAGGCCTGTGCCCCCAACCCCCAATCTTCAAGTTTGCTCTCAGAAAGGGGAAGAGCACAGGGGCCGAGCAACGAGAGAGAAACCAAAGGGTGGGGGATGGGTGACTCTGGGGCCAGGACTGGGGAGGGGTCAGGCTAGGTTGTGGAAATGCTTTCCCATACCCTTAGGAAAGTGTTTTCCTGGAAAACTGACCAGGAACTAGGAAGTCTCTGGGCAGTGGCTGGAAAGGAAGGTTAAGGTGCCACCAGCAGAGAGGCTGGAATCTGGGGTGCCTCCAGGAGGGGGCAGGTTCTCCAGAGCCCTCCTAGCCTGAGGGGCTCCCCAGAAGGGTGAGGAGGTCAGACTTAACAGAAAGGACCTGGTGGGGGAGGCCTCTCTGGCTTGGCCTCAGCCATCATCCCTGAGGCTGCTGCTCCTGCAGATGTCAGTTTTGTGCCCCCCCCTCCCCGTTCTATCTCCCTATGTTTCCCTCCTCCTGTCCCTCCTTCCATTGTTGTCGCTGTCCCTGACCCATCTCTTCCTCTTCTCTGCCTTTGCCTGTCTTTTCCCTCCCTCTCAATCAGATGTTCCCCTCCTTCCTTCCTGCTCTCCACCCTCTGTTTTCCCAGCTTACAAACCGCTTCGCTGCTGGGTAAAAAGGTAAAAATAGCGGTGGCAGCAGCCAGGCCAGGCCTGCTGCCAGGTAGGGCCTGAGCAGGCAGGGGAGCCCAACAGGACTGGCAGAGAGGTCAGGCTGAGCAGTCCTGAGAGGCAGGGCTAGGGGTCCTGCTGGACTCCGGGGCTTGCCAGCTCTGTCTGCTCTGCCCCCTCCTACACCCCAAGAGTCTGAAGAGGCCTGTGGAGAAACAGGGTGACACAAGGCCTCACACTGCTTCTGCCCCAAGCAGGCCTCAGAGGGAGAGAGTCCTCAGCCAGGCAAAACCAAGATCGCCATCACCATGACAACCAGTCACCAGCCGCAGGACAGGTACTGGGAGACCTGGGCTGGGGACCCAGGGGCATGGAAATGGGTTTCCAGGGGGCTGGGTGCATTGTCCTTTGGAATTTCGGGTTGTCACTGCTGACTGGCCTTCCAGCCAGGTAGCTATGAGTGTCAGGTCTGCACCAGGGGCAGGGGCCATGCATGCCTTGGCTGGGTGCTGGCTGGGGTGTCTGTAGGGAGGGCCTTGGTGGGTGCACGGCAGCCTGGATCCTCCCACTACGCATGCCTTGGTGGGTGCCTGGCCTGTTAGTTTTTCCACTGCTGCTCTCCAGCCACCAGCGGCTTCCCGCTCCTCCTGCCACAACTGTGGGGAGACATTTGGCAGCACCCTTCATTCCAGAGCACATCTGACAGAACTGCCCCTCCCTGAGGGTTGCCTCTATCTCATATGACCTTGCCCAACCCCAGTCCTTGATCTGACCTTTCTCTCGCTTCTGCACCTCTGGAGCCTATGAGCTCCCTCAAGTTAGACCTGCACATGTGATCGTGCACATGTGTTTTGGGGGAAGAGGCTATAGCTTGATTCAAGTTTTCCAGGAGTCTAGGACCCAAGAAAGTTGATGAAGTCATGCCTCAGGTCCAAAGCTCGTCAACCCATCACCTCTCCCTGCCCTTTCTGTTGTCCTCCTGTGCCAAAGGTCACAGAAGTAGACCATTTCTAGGTGTCAGACTTTGGGCACTTAGCTTGATCTCACTGGGACCATTTCCCACCTGTAAAATAGAGGTGAGGTTTATTTGGATGGGAGAGAATTTAAGGAGACAGTAAGTATAGGCCCAGGTTGGCTCCCTCCCTCGTCCCTCCTCCCAGGTCGCCTGCTTGCCCCTTCCCAGCCTCATCACTCCCAGCAGCTCTCTGACCCTCTCTCCATCTCCATTACCTGTTGTATTCGTCCAGTGCCACTCCGACCCTCTCCTGTGTGACCTTGACTGGGAGTTTCTCCCTTCATCCTGGGTCTCTGAATCAAGCCCTTAGCTCTCTATTTCAAGGGGTGTGTGTGTGGGGGGGGTAGGTATATGAGGGAGTTGGGAGACTGTAGTTGTAATGACAGAGCTCACTCAGGCACTGCACTCTCTGGCCAGACCTGTCCTCACTGCCTTGGGCTTTGTGCCTGCTATCTCTGTGAAGAAGCAGATGTTGGCTGTCGGGAGGATATGGCAGACACATTTGGAGACCATAGTGGAAGGATCCAGGGCTGCCTGGGGGAAGCTGGCCCATCCCAGACAGGCTCTGAGGTGCAGGGCTTGGGGCCATGCAAGGGCAAAAGCTGGGGCGGTACTTATTTACAATCTGGGGCCCAGATGACGTCCAGTGGCCGGATACCTTCTGGCCTACCCTGGGTGGTGTGACCTACAAAGCCGGTTCTGTCTGGGCTTGGAAAAAACAGCTCCCTCATTCCCCAGCTGCCCCAAGGCACCTCGCCTGCCTGCCCCACTAGGTCCAGAATGGTCTGGGAGTTTCTTGACCTCAGAATTCTCTTTGGGGAGCCACACAGTCCCTGCCCAGACTGCCAAATCACTTCCAGCCTGCCTGGCGGGCGGGGGAAGAAGACATTTGCTGTTTGTTTTCTCACTCATTTGCCACCCCCAGCCTTCATAGCGGGATTTCCCAAACCACCTCCAGATGTATGGGTCATACTGGTTCCCACGCCTGCAGGGTCCCCTGAGTTTTCAGGGGCTGAGAACCACCGTCCTGTGGCCTTGTCCTTCAGCCTTGTGTCCCTGATCCTCCTCTCTCTCTGGACACAGCTGGGCCCTTTTCCCTGTCCCAGGACACCTCCCCCCCACATACACCCATAGGAGGACACATGCACATGGACACACACACAGACGCCCTGCGCCCTGGGATAGCTAGAGAGACTGAAGGTCAGGGAACGATGGGCTTCCCTAGGTTTGATCTGGGAAAGGAGGGTGGGATGGTGGGTCACTTGGCTCCTCTTTCCTCTCCCATCCCCAGGTACAAAGCCGTCTGGCTTATCTTCTTCATGCTGGGTCTGGGGACCCTGCTTCCCTGGAATTTTTTCATGACAGCTACTCAGGTGAGACTGGGCTCTAGGGGGCATGTCCACTGGGCATGTAGGGCCTGGATCTGTACTCATGGGCGCAGGGAGAGAGGTTCTAACACTCCTCTCTGCATCCCCCACAGTATTTCACAAACCGCTTGGACCAGTCCCAGAATGTGTCCTTGGTCACTGCTGAACTGAGCAGGGGCATCCAGGCCTCGGTCACCCCTACAACACCCTCTGCAGAGCGGAATTCTCTGAGTGCCATCTTCAACAATGTCATGACCTTGTGTGCCATGCTGCCCCTGCTGCTCTTTACCTACCTCAACTCCTTCTTGCATCAGAGGTGAGCACCCAGACACAGCCAGACCCCTGGCTGCCTCTTGCAAGTCCTGGGCTGAGCCACTGCGTTAACCACACCTCTCTGCTACCTGGGCCTCTCCCACAGGATCCCCCAGTCTGTTCGGATCCTGGGCAGCCTGGTGGCCATCCTGCTGGTGTTCCTGATCACTGCTGTCCTGGTGAAGGTGCACCTGGACGCCCTGCCCTTCTTTATCATCACCATGATCAAGATCATGCTCATTAATTGTAAGCTGGGCTGCAAGGGGACTTGGGGCAGAGACCTTCCCACATACCCTCACCCTTCCTTCAGACCCACAGTCAACCAGAGAAGAGCCCATTCTGACCTTGAGGAAATAGATGCCGTGGGCAGTGAGGGCTCAGAGGCCTGAGCAGGCAGGGACAGGGCTGGGAGTGGTGGGCACAGAAAGAAGGGCCACTGAGCAGCAAGACCCACTGGAAGTAAAATAGGAGTTACAGGAACCTGTTTTCCCATAAGCCCCAACCACCCCCAGCAGAAGTGAGTCCCACCCTGCCCACACCCCTGCTGATGCCCACCCTATTCCCCCAGCGTTTGGTGCCATCCTGCAGGGCAGTCTGTTTGGTCTGGCTGGCCTCCTCCCTGCCAGCTACACGGCCCCCATCATGAGTGGCCAGGGCCTGGCAGGCATCTTCGCCTCAGTGGCCATGATCTGCGCCATTGCCAGTAAGTCTTGCTGTCTATCTGCCTGTCTCGTTTTTGCGGAGAGAAGAGGGTGGACCCTGTCTCACCACTGACACCCTCCACCCCAGGTGGCTCAGAGCTGTCAGAAAGTGCCTTCGGCTATTTTATCACAGCCTGTGGGGTCATCATTGTAACCATCATTTGTTACCTGGGACTGCCCCGTCTGGTGAGCAAAAGGAGAAAGCAGGGGTTTGGGGTCTGGGAAGTCCAGGGCTCCTGACCACAGGTGCTCTGAGGCTGAAACCTGGGGGAGGTAGGGATTCTAGAAAGCTCGCCTCTGAGCCCACCTTCGTCTCCCTCACTTGATAGGAATTCTACCGCTACTACCAGCAGCTCAAGCTCGAAGGGCCGGGGGAGCAGGAGACCAAGTTGGACCTCATTAGTAAAGGTCTGAATAGCCTGAGGAAGCTGTGGAGGACGGCCTCCCTGGCAGGGGGGCGGCTGAGCACAGAGGGCAGGAATGGGTACACGGTTTACAGGCAGAGATGAGCCAGAGGCCAGAAGGACCAGGGGTGAGGGGACAATGGGAAATAAGAGCTGGGGAAACTAAAACGGGGAGATCCTAGATGACCTTGAATGCCTGAGGGCAGTGGGAAGCAATTTCAGATTCTTGGACAATGTGTAACGTGAGCTGAGGCTCCTGGGAGAGGTCAGGACTCAGGGACTGGCACTGTGAGGATTTAGAGGAGGTCTAGGCTCTGTGTAGGATGCTTCTGTGCACGGTGTAAGGGGGTGTCCAGCCCCAACTAACCCCAGCCAGCCCTTTTGGGGAAAATTTGCATCATTCCCTTGTTGCTCTGTCCTTCCTACAATTTGAAGATCCTTCCACAACCTGTCATCCCCCAGGAGAGGAGCCAAAAGCAGGCAAAGCGGAGTCTGGAGTTTCAGCCCCCAACTCTCTGCCCACCAACAAAAGTCACTCAATCCGAGCCATCCTCAGAAATGTGCGTGGAGCATGGGTATCCTGCCCTCTACCCTCACCCGTTCTCTCCTCAGTCCTCACCCCCACACAGTCCATCCCATCCCTTTCTGACCTGAGACTGGCCACTCTCCTGGATTCCCACGTGCACGCACGTGTGTGTGTGTGTGTGTGCGCGCGTGTACACGACTGCCATGAAGACTGGGTCCTGGGTCCCTTTCCTCCAGATCTTAGTCCCTGCTCTCTCCGTCTGCTTCATCTTCACGGTCACCATTGGGGTGTTTCCTGCCATTACCGCTGAGGTCAAGTCCAGCATTGGAGGCAGTAGTGCCTGGGGTGAGGACACCGTGGGTTCCCAGGATGGGGATGTAGGGGCTGTAGCAGGACTGGGAGTGGGGGAGAAGAGACTCTGGGCTGCATCTCCCCAGCTAGATTCTCCTAGTCCACTTGCCCTTCCCTGGGGACACTCAGGCCCAGTGAGGGTCAAGGTTGCTAACTCTGCCTCTGGACCTAATAACCACCCCCTAATGTACTCTCCCTTTTCTAGGACACTACTTCATTCCCGTGTCCTGTTTCTTGACTTTCAATGTCTTTGACTGGTTGGGCCGGAGCCTCACAGCCATATCCATGTGGGTGAGTGGAAGAAGAGGGCACCAAGTCCCTGTGAGAGGGAGGAGTCCACCCTGAGACCCACGAAAGTATGGTGACAAGGGGACCATGCTTTTTTAAAAACCAAGACATTATGTATAGTTAGGTGTACAAGTCTTTTTTTTTTTAATATATCTTTGTTGATTTCAGAGAGAGGAAAGGAGAGAGAGAGAGAGAGAGATAGAAACATCAATGATGAGAGAATCATTGATCGAGCCCACAACCCGGGCATGTGCCCTGACTGAGAATCGAACCCCGATCGCCTGGATCCTAGGTCGGGGCTCAAGCGCTGAGCCATGCTCAGCCAGGCAGGTGTACAAATCTTAAGTGTATAGCTTAATGGCTGTATACGAATCCCCTGTATAATCACCACCCATGTCGAGATGGAGAATATTTCCAGTATTCCAGAAGGTTTCACTCTGCCCCCTCCCCATCAGTACCCTTAAAGGTAACCAGGCTTTGAGGTTTCAGTGAAGATCCCGAGGGGCTCCACATGGAGTCCCAGGGGCCTGGGTGTGCCCTGGGGGCTGGTCTGGCTGAGGCACTGCCTGGTCCCCACAGCCTGGGAAGGACAGCCGCTGGCTGCCAAGCTTAGTGCTGGCCCGTCTGGTGTTCGTGCCCCTGCTGCTGCTGTGCAACGTCCATCCCCGCCGATACCTGGCTGTGGCCTTTGAGCACGATGCCTGGTTCATCTTGTTCATGGCCGCCTTCGCCTTCTCCAATGGCTACCTCGCCAGTCTCTGCATGTGCTTCGGGCCCAAGTGAGTGTCGGGCAGGGTCTAGCGCTCCAGTGGGGGACACTCACTAGAGGGAGAAAGGGCAAAAGGAAACCCCCTGATCCTGGAGCTTAAGGTTTCCAGG